TCAAAGAAATTTACCAATGAGTGAACCGGACTTGTGCAGGATGTTTAAATGCTGCCGCACATTTGTAAGATAAAAAAATAAATTGGTCTCAATATGAAATTTCACAATGCTAAGAGAAGAGTAGATTTTTTTAATAAATGGTTATTCATCAGCAGAAGTATTCAAGTAACGTACAGCTCATATATACCCCTACATGCTCTGGTGGGAATGGGTTTTTTTCTTACCATACTTCACCACACTGGTCAGCGAGGGTGGTGAGGGAGTGCGCTAATCACTGGACCACCATGCCACACTTTAAAATCTTAATCCTTCGAGCAGAACACGTAAAAGATCTCGATTTAAAGCTTTCGTGACTGCAGGGATTCATCTTCTTGGTTCTTTCGGTAAAGTCACGTAGAAGACGCTGTCGCCTCGACAGACCTGGTTTTCACCTGAGGACGGATACTTGCGTTGTGGCCGAAACGTCGTGAGAATAATTTTATTATGTTTTATTTTTATTATTTTATTACTTCCCTTCTACGTGACTTTACCGACAGAACCAAGAAGACGTAAAAGATCATTGATAAATGCAATGGGTGTTCCAACGAAGATTAATCACACGTGCCACTGTTAAAATCCATTAATCACCCAAGCGTTTAGTTCACAATTAAACACACTCGCCTTTGCCCCAGACATATCTGTTGACCTGTAACGCATGGCCATGACCCTTAACCACACACGGTGCCTCAATGGCGCGAGGTTAATGCTTTACAGATATCACCCAAAGGTGCATTCAACTCCCCCCCCCCCCCCCCCCCCCAGAATATAAACACCACGTATGACAAATAGAAACGGCCAGCAAGCTAAAAGTATTGACGGTTTCATTTCCGACTCATAGTATGCGTACAAATATTTATTTTCTATTTATAATACATAATCCCGTAAGAAGACTACTTTGAATGGCATTCAACTGTTGCATTTTATGCCGAGTAAACCTAGGTAGTTGCAGAGCTAATGCGGTGGGCAGCATAAAGCAGTACAGAAAGTAGGTGTTTAACCGGTATCTCACTTGCCTACATTGTGTTTTTTCTCTCCTCTCTGGCTATTCTGGTCCAAGTTCCCATAAAGAAAATGACTGATGTTGTCAAAAACGCAGTTAAACACGTGTAGGCTTTCTCGACCAACATTATGCATCATAAAGATCGTACTTGGAACGTCGCACTCGAATTGGGTTGGGATTGTGGAAATACTTGCCGCGATCTCGTTCAGATCAAACGAATATAAACCCATCTTCTTGGTTCTTTCGGTAAAGTCACGTAGAAGGGAAGTAATAAAATAATAAAATTAAAAATAAAACATAATTGTTTATTATATTATATTATTATGTTTTATTTTTATTATTTTATTACTTCCCTTCTACGTGACTTTACCAAAAGAACCAAGAAGATGAATCCCTGCAGTCACGAAAGCTTTTAATCGGTATATAAACCCAGTTTAACCTGTAGGCCTTTCGCGACCAATATCATCCATAATGTAGGGTTTTTTTCGGCTAGATCAAGTAAATATGAATGTGTCGTTAAACCCGCCACCAATGTTGTGGATTTGCCCTCCAACACACCGCTGTGCTGAAGTAGTAACTAATTGGCACATTTTGTTTACGTGACGAATCTTACTGGTTGACTGTGTGGGGTGGTGGCGAGTTTAAAGGCACGTTTATATTTACGCGATCTAACCCCAAAAAAACTTTATTACTGGCCAAACGTGCAGGACACACTCCTGAACAAGTGTCCTGAAAGTCAATCAAACTTTTTTGGATAAATGAAGCCTTATTGATATTGATATTACATTGTGCTTTTCTTGGTATATGTTTGAACGTACAATGCATACAAATTGGCAGTGCCGTATTATCCGAGTAGCAAAAGTAGCTACACATGTTGCTACGGGCTCTGCACTTTCAAGGGCCCCACGCGAAATGCTTTCAAGCTATCAATTCCGGTTCAGTGATTCTGCACTTGCTCTATTACTATAGTACTATACTGCCTTCAACTTTTATGAACGACTGGGTATTTAAGGTTAGCGATTTGTCATATTATCTGGCTGTATAGCAAATGAAAACATACAACTACTTTACTGTGCAAGTTAAACATTTGTGTTTTCATTTTTTTTATTTAGGGGCCCGTTTATAACACATGCTACAGGCCCGCACTCGCTTAATCCGGCACTGCAAATTGGGATTTCTCCGACATCTAAAAACATCTGCATAAGAAAAAAAAAAGGACATCACGGGGGAACCAACAAAATCAGGGATGGCTCTACGCACTTATTGAACAGGTTTCACAGATGCGAGTCAGTCAGCAGAGATAAGGAGTGTGTCGAGTCTGCACTAGAGCAAGGGGCAGAGAGTGGGCAGCCGCAGCTAAACCGATACTGCCTTTGAGGCCGTAACTAAACACCGTCATCATCAGCTACAGCATCATCATCATCATTCAGCTGGACAAAGGCGTCCCTCCAAAAGTGACTCATGATCCCCACATTGAACGCCAGCCTACGGCCTGTCCAGTTTTAACCTTGCCCAGTAACAACGTTCACCAAACACCGCGATGGCCAAAGAGTGCCCCAGCCCCCCACCACCTTTTTTTTATAACCACTGATCTAGGAACTGCACGGACGGGCGCGCGCATGCAAAATAGTCCCAGAACAGCAGAGCTCATGGCACACTGCAGTTCCTGGCAATTGGCTGAGTGATTGATTTTCACGGGAGGGGGTTACAAGGGTGGGGGGGGGGGCACTTAGCGTCGAGTGGAAAACGCCGCGAATGTTTAGATAAGCCGGAGGACTAAGCGTGTCTGACAATGACGAGGGGGGCTTCGGTGACAAGTCGGAGCCATTTGGCCGAGCGGGCTGCAAGCAACCTGTCCTGAAATTGCCCAAAATTGGCCCCAGAACACACCATTCTGGCATGGTGATTACAAACGCACGTGCCGACCGGCAACAGCTATCGCTCGGCACGCGCTGGATGACCCATCAAAAGCCGGCTCATAATTGCAATTCGCGGCCAGGAGGTGTTTTTTTGTTGTTTTCACTGCCTCTGCGGAGAGAGACTGTTGCTTTCACTCGTGTGATTCGCCACCATCCCAGACCTTTATCTCCCAAAAACAGCCCCAACAGAGTGACACGATTCTCTTTCGGGAGAGTCCTGCTTGGGATATGGTAAAGGCTGGATATAAGCACACGACTTGGGAATGAGGCAAGCTGTGCTTATATCAGAAATGGTGCATTTGTGTCAGATGCCGCCCCTTTTGCCATCCTCCCCACCAGCGTAGCATAAAGGATGCATTGCTTATATCAGAACTGTGGTCGCTTAAAAGGTGTGCCTTTTATCAAGATTGCCCTCAATTCGGTCCATTGTTCATTGAGCACATTTTGTAAGAGAGAAGAAATTGGGATTCCTGGAGAAAAGCGCACGAGAATGTGGGGTTAACGATACGGTTATGTTCGCAACATGTTTGTGATCTAAAAATAATAATAGTACTTCCCTCTGTGCATCTCAAAACAGTATATTTTACAGTTCTTTGCTAACATGCGTCTATCCAATAATTATTCATAATATACACCTGAGCAAGCTATATTGTTTGGATTTTTTCTATTAAGAAATATTAGCGGAAAAGTAATTGAATCTACAACCAGTGAAAAATAGTAATCATTTATGGCATTGACCAAATATGCCAATGCAGGACCCTCCTAAAAAAATAATTGGGATTAAAGTGAGGCATTTCAGGGCAAATGATAAAAAAATATTTCGTAGCATTATTTATCAATATTATATTGTTCTCATTTGGCGAGACATGTTTTCATGGGTTCAGATAAAATATGCAAGACAATGCTCGAAGTAGATCATTTACCGCATGAATGAAAGTCAATTCTAAGCATCTCCCAACACGAATGAACAGTCAAACTGCACTAATATATGTTGGCAGTCTTGAGTCAGTGATGGAAATACATTCCCATGGTGAAGGCCCAATCTCTCCTTTCCTTAAAATGATCACTGTTGACCCAATCCAACTCTTATTTGTTTTACTGTTCAACTATTTTTATTTTACCAGGTAAGGCCCCACTGAGCTATGTAGCTCTTTCTCAGAAGAAACCTGGCTACCAATGACAGCTCAACGAAGTGGCTTATCAAGTGGAAATTTATAGCAGACAAATACTTGAACACGCACGTTCATTCTAAATGTGGAGGGAAAGACCGAAGGACCTGGAGAAAAATCCACACGAACACGAGGAGAACATGCAACCTTCAGATATACAGACGTCAGGGTCACGATCGAATCCACAACCTCCTGTATACCAGGTGGGGTAGTTAACATCTCGCCACGGTGGCGACCTACCAAAAGTACGACTCATTTTATCAAACAAAGAGGATTTAAGGGCTGAGGCAATCACCTCCTGGAATTTGAACTCCCGACCTTCTGACTTTTAGCCAAGACCAGCAGTGATTTCATATGGCCCACAAAAATATGTATCCATCACTGCAAGCATCTTTACCCCACTAATCAGGTACTAGATGGCAACACTGAGTTTCTTACGTCATAGCTCTCAGTCGCTGCAAGGGCCTCCGAGAGAGAGAAGCAATTAAGGTGTGTGCTTGTCTATGACCCGTCAAAGGGATTTGAAAGCCCTATTTGGCCTTCAGCAAGTGGGAATGATAACTGACGACAGATGAACAAAATTAAATGATACATCGATATGAGAGACAACAATCGATGCAGCGGAGACAGCGGTAGAGATTGTAAGAGAAAAAAAACATCAAATAATTTGTAGGCCATTGCTGTACAAGAAACAACCAAGGAAAGTAAAGAAAGCAACAAAATTGGAGGCAGCCTTTGCCCTGCAGTGAAAAGTCGTAGACTGAGAGCAGCAGCAGCAGCAACGAGAGAGAAGTTATCCACTCCCACAGCAACGGGCCAATATCTGCGTGCGTGGCGCAGACAGTGGCGTGGACACTGGCTCGCTCTGCTCACCCAGCTTGGGCAGGGAGTAGCTGAGGTTGAAGAAGTCGTGGTAGAAGTCCAGCAGCTGCAGGGTGATGTTGAGAGCCGAGTCAGCAGAAGCCACGTCTCACGGCTTCCGGACGTGCGTACAGTCGTACCTAACCAGCAAAGACAAAGATCTCCCATGTAGGCACGAAGACCGTTTAGGGGCAAGGGCTGCGAGTGAGCGCCCTGCAAATGTCTGCACGGCGCACGAGCAGGTGTTGTGGCCAGCAGGTCACCCCAGTGCCGATGTTAATACACGCTGCAGCCAGCACTCATTTTGGCCGTGAGCAGGAATCAAACTCATGTCGCCACGATCGTCGCATAGTGTGCAAACCACTGTGCTACCATACCCCAGACACATTTTATACAAAGGACAAAAGATCCTCCATATAGCCTTAACAGCCAATGCACTAAATTTCGATTTAAAGCTTTCGTGACTGCAGGGATTCATCTTCTTGGTTCTTTCAGTAAAGTCACGTAGAAGGGAAGTAATAAAATAATAAAAATAAAACATAATAAAATAATTTTCACGACGTTTCGGCCACAATGCAAGCAGCCGTCCTCAGGTGAAGACCAGGTCTGTCGTCTCATTCAGACGCTGTCTCCCTGACAGACCTGGTCTTCACTTGAGGACGGCTGCTTGCTTTGTGGCTGAAACGTCGTGATAATTATTTTATTATGTTTTATTTTTATTATTTTATTATTTACATTCTACGTGACTTTACCGAAAGAACCAAGAAGATGAAAGCCAATGCACTGTTGGATGAATGCCTCCTTGCACTGTGTGAGTCATTGTCGCTATTTGATCATATTTCACACGCACTGCTCAGTGCAGATTTGCGGAAAGGGGAACCTAGATTTGGTTTAATATGTAACTCGTGACTGATGTTAACTGTGGCCAGGAATCAAACTCAGGTGAACCAGGTTCATTGCACAGTGCACGAGCCGACTGAGCAAGAGCTGATTTTTTAAAGGGTTAAAAGCTGAAGGGCCTTCACTGTAGGGAGCTCTTGAGGGCCCCGTGAGAAGGCATTTGCTCTGCCCTTCCACAATGAGCAGACAACTTGGAAGAGGTTGCTACTTGGCCCATTCTTCCATGCCGGCCAGTTATCTCGGAAGAGGTGGCAGTACCCGCACTTTACCCCACCACACGCGTCCTGCCGATCAACAACTAACTTCAGTGGAACACATTTATGCTCCATAATAGAGGTTTGTTTGGTTTAGATCGCAGTAAATATATGAATGGGTCGTTTAAACCCGCCACCACCCGACACAACCAACTAGTAAGGGTTGTCACGTAAACAGAACATGCGATTTCGTCACTAGTACAGCACACCGGTTTGTTGGAGAGGCAAGCCACAACATTTACAAACTGAATACGACGTTTCGCCAGGAATTACAACGAGCTGCATCAGGCGACAGCCAGATTTGTCAAATCATGTTCCTTTGAACGGGGGAGACACTGGGCCTTGATTGCAGCAAGGATTATGAGATTTTGATGCTGGACTGTGTATGTGTTTGTAAGTGCGCCTAGGCTGGCACAAGGTCAGTGGTGATGTCACCGCCACTAAGCAGCGAATAGCGGCTGTTGTTGTCATTGGGAGTTGTGGTGTGCTGGTTCCGGTGACAGCCAAATTCGTGCTGATGGGTGGACAGAGGTAACGGTGGGGTGGGGAGAGATTTCAGAAACCGGCACCGTTACTTCAACTGCCGCGCCGGGAGATCGGAGCGGCGACCTCTGTGTTCCCGCATTCTAAACCACCGCACCATTTGCCGGTGCCCTTGTGCTCTTCATCGACTGAACAAAAGCCGAACTGAGCACAACTGTCGTGAGCTTGCCAGCTGGTTGGTCTACGTATGCATGTAGAACTTCTTTCGCGCCGTCCGTAGCCAACCGTGCCAATCGGAGGTGCGGCGGTGGGAGGGGGGAAGGACAACAAACGGAACACAAAGAAATAGTTCTAAAGAAACTGAGTTTGTAATCTACACAGCTCCAGGGGCTTCCGAATATCGGAAGGAAGAGAGCGCTCTGCAGACGGCCGTAGCTGGAGCAGCGCATCTGAACGGGACACAAAGCGGCATCTTCACCCCGCGCCACTGTCTTCGTGCGGCGGTCGATTCGTGGCACAACTGACCACAACTGTCGTGAGCTTGCCAGCTGGGTGACGGTCTAGCAGTGGGTGAAGCCGGCACCAAGCCCAGCGTCGAAGGTTCATTGCCTCCGGCACACCCGCTCATTTGTGCAGGGATTTATGAGAGCTGATCAAAGAGTGCGTACTGACAGAGACGGAATGGCGCTAGAAAACAGGGTCAACGTTCGATTAAAAAGTGCATCGCTCTTAGCAAGGATTACCTCATTATATAGCAACGGATTAACGGGCGTCTGAAGTAATCTCAGCTTTTCATATCGCCGTGCGCATTGTGCATTTAAATTGAATATGAAGAAAAATAATGAGCATTTAACAAAAAAGTGATATTATGGAGAACAATCAGAAAAAAGTGTTGACAAATGAGAGCATACCCCCAATTAGAAACTAGGCCTCCCAGTGACGTGCACGTGCTCGGTAGGATAAAAATAAACATGTGAATATGAGATAGCCTCAAAGAAGCATTACAAGCATAGGGGGAAATTTACTTTCAGAGTGGATCAGTAAGGGAGGTTTTTTGTGTTGTTGCGAGTAAAACCTACTCTTAGTCTCCTTGCAAAAGAGATGATGAATGTCATTTGGCTCTCGCCTGCTTTCAGTGTAGGACACGAGGAGCGAATTGATCTTTGTAATCATGGCTATAACTTGCTTCGAGGACACCGAGGTCTTGCACTCGGCGGTACACGACTCGTTAAGAATGTGTCTCGACATCTGGCGGAGAGAGTTTCGTGAAATGTATTTCCTACAAAGGCCATCACCGCTGCCATCTCCATCGTTACGAAGATCCATTTATTCGACGGCGCCCAACAACGCAACAATTACAATTGTTCTTACACGATCGCATTGTGCCACTTAAGTGAAAGTGTTCATTATATATTTACCACCACCCCCCCCCCCCCGATTTCACTCTTCTACTCTCATTGAAATGGACTCCTAAATTTCAGCTCACCCTGAATACGCAAACGGCTTCTCGCGTTCGGGCTCAATCTTTCACCGTACTTTCTATAAATGTTCCGCTGAAATTACTGCCATTCCTCATGCCCGCGACAATCCAGCGTATCTGGCACGATTCTCATTTTCCTATCTGGGGTTGTTGCTGTGTGTAACACAAGTAATTTACACAGACACAGACAGAGAGAGAGCAGAATGTAATAGAATGCACACCTCCTGATTTATACATTCAATGGCATCATTATTTGCATACATACGATAGGGACTTTTGTCGGATCACGATAGCGGCGGAAACAGGTAGATCCCATTTTATGGGACAAAGTGCGATTTTAGAAATATGTATTTTTTTTTTACAAGATAAGATCGCCTTCACGTGCGCAACGCTTACAATGCAATGCATGTGTCATTAATTTTTGAGGAGGTGTGCATCGAATATTATGCATTTCGCTCTGCAATTCCGTTGTAAACATTTTCACAAGTACAACCCCTAAGCGGAGCCGTGTTTCCCACGTGAAATTAAACAGTGTTTGTGGGCAAAAAATAAAAATTGCGTGCGTTTTTGAAAGGGAAATATTTCCCTTGGTGCACCGATGGTCGATGTAAATATATAAACGTAGTGCCGTATAATCACATGTAACATGTAACATGTTCCCATGACCTAATCACCCAGCATGTAGGCGATCTCGTCAAGCATCAGAAGCTGTGCAGGGCGAGACAAGATAGTGCTTTCATGCATGACCACTCCATATTACTGGTGCTAGAGCTCAGTGCTATGTTGTGGGCAGTTCAGCAAGATGCATTGTTGTACTGTACTCCTATGCATCCATGTCTATGCTCCCGCGCCTTCACACCTCCCAGGATGGTGATGTATCATCAAATGACATCCAGGACCCACACTGTGTAGGGAGGACCTTTCCAGCAATGGATTAACAAAGAATTTGCGTAAGTAGGTGTATAATGTTAGTCAAGAGCCAAAGTGTTCTCATACTCACACACATATTCAACATTCAGCCATGTTCATGTTCGGGTTGCCAAGTCTGACTGACGCTAACCCTGGAGGTGTTTTATTTTTTTATTTTCTTAAAATATCCTCTTTTTAAAATCTCCCGGATTGCTTTCAATAGGCACTGGGAGATCAATGCCAATTCCCGGTAGAGATTCCCGGCCAATCCAGGTAAGGGTTGGCAACCCTCGTTCATCTTCATTGATGTCCCTGAGCCAATGGTGAAGATTTAATTTATCTGACAAGCGCTATCCATTGGTGCTGCACCTCTGTGTTGACTATCCACAGATGTGGAGTCCAGACATTGCTTGTTCAGGCCACGAATAGCGGGAAGGGCCTCCACTGGAGGGGCTCTAGTGCAGCGGTTCTCAACCCGGGGGTACACGGACCCCTGGGGATACGTGGCAATGCCCCAGGGAATATACGTGAGGTGATTTATACAATTGTGTGAAATGCAAACATAGGTCAGAGTCATTGGTGAAGTCATGTATGAATCTGCCAATATAAAACAACTACAATACAATTTTAGTCAATGTGGTAACCTAGAATGATCTAAAATATTCTTCTAAATGCATTGATCGTAAACAACGCTGGTTTCCAAGAGCAAATAACGTGGTTTTCAAGAGTAAACAACGTGGTTTTCAATAATAAAAAACGTGGTTTTCAATAGTAAAAAACGTGGTTTTCAAGAGTAAAGAACGTGGTTTTCAAGAGTAAAAAACGGGGTTTTCAAAAGTAAAAAACGTGCTTTTCAATAGTAAAAAACGTGGTTTTCATTAGTAAACAACGTGGTTTCCAAAAGTAAAAAAACGTGGTTTTCAAGAGTAAAAAACGTGGTTTTCAAGAGTAAACAACGTGGTTTCCAAGAGTAAACAACGTGGTTTTCAAGAGTACACAACGTGGGTTTCAAGAGTAAACAACGTGGGTTTCAAGATTAACCAGCGAGCGCGAACACATGACGTCACACATACAGAGCGTGACGTCAGTGGCGTCACGAGGGGGGTGCGGACCG